TTTATTTTCTTTGATAAAATTCGACCTTTTTCCTATCAAAGAAAATGTAAACTTAAGGATGAGAGTAATATAGCATGTGTCAAAAGAATCCAACAAATTGCTCTCAGACACAATAACCGAGGAATGGTCTAAATCAGCAGGACCCCCCTCTCCTACGTCCTCCGGTGATCCTTCTGATCACCGGATTTCATTTCTCTTTTCTTTTTTTCTTTTCTTTCCCACTGTCCTTGCAGGCGAGTTTCAAATGGAAGATAGTATTTACTTTGCAGCTGGATTCAAGTCCTACGACATCACAAGAACACCTGGTACGGCGGGAGCATGGTACGACTGGACGGAAAGAAATAGAAAATCTATGACGAGAACGACTTTTAATGAGAAGTCAATGGAATGGATCGTGCAGATTTTACGGGAGGCATCAATGACAAGGGGGAATATGGTGAAGAGATGGAAGAAAAAAGATGGGTTCTCAGAAGTTTTTTGTTCGAGGAACTACAATAAATATGGGCGCTACATCAGTTTAATAAATGTAAAAGGCAGGAGGAGGGAAGTTATCATCATCCCTGAATTAAATTTTAACTCAGGGTGGTTGAGCTTTGCGGAAAAGGTTGGAAGATTCATTAATAGTCGTAGAAAGTTAATGAATGGGGGCAATCACAGGCTGGTGAGCAGAGACATTCCATATGCTACAGTGCTAAGGAGCATTAAATGGGCTAATAAAGATTCAAAACTTGCTGAAAAAGAGAAGGCAGCTCTAAAAGGGGATACAATCTTTATCAACGATGATCCAGAGGAGTACAGTGCAGTGCTAAAGAGAAGTTTGGTGGGTGCATTTGAACCTAGAGCCGGTGAGACAGTGACCCTGTCAGAAATCAGGGGATGGGCTAATCAACTGTGGAAACAAACACACAGCTTGAACATCTACGAAATGGGCAATGACTTCTTTCTATTTGAGTTTGCACTTAGGGTCACAGCAGAGCAAGTGATCGAAGGGGATTGGGAGTGGAGGAATAGTCCAGTTATCCTTCAATGGTGGAATCCAACAATAGGTACGAGATGCGGAAGGAGTAAAGAAAATTCAACTTGGGTAAAAATTGTAGGGTTGCCTTTGCATTTTTGGGATCAGAAAATTTTCAAGGTCATCGGAGATTTCTGCGGGGGGTGGGTAGAGACGGAAGAGGAAACCCAATTGAGGAATCATCTCAAATGGGCAAGAATCAGAATCAAAGGAGATGGAGCAGACATACCCAAAGAAGTGACCATCGACGGGGGCGGAATATGCTACACGATGCAAATTTGGGCAGAATCGCCGGTAAGAGTATTTGCCGGAGAAGACCTGAACTCCGAGATCAGTACCCAGCGGTCACGAGGTGGAAAACCATTGGGTAAAGGTGAGGCTCCTCTGCAAAGTCAAAAAGTAACTGCTACAGCAGGCAGAGCACATGTTGTGTCAGAGGCAGGTGGGCAGTCCTCCAAGTCAAACAAAATAGTGGGCCGGGGCGAGCCCAACTCAAAACAAAGCCCAATTCTAAGATTGGGGCCAGAACAAAATAAAGAGGGGGGCCTGGTCAATAAAAAGTTTGACCTGGCAAGTGAAAAGTGAAAATCAGGGGGAATTTCTAGAAGGGTTAAGTGGCATCAAGGAATTAGCGATGCAGTTCTTACAGGCTTACAACAAATGGGAAACCTCGAGTATGGTGGAAAACACCGACATCTCAGCTAAAAACAGAGAGCCGGTAAACAAGACGAAAGAGGCTGTTGAACTACTATGCAACAAAGCAAAGGGTATTGATCATTCTAAGGATTTTGGGGAGATTTCAGGGGTACAAGAACTAGTGGAAGGAGGCATGCAAATTCAACAGATTCACGATGCGGAGCCGGTTTCCATACAAAACCCTGGGTACCATACAGACAGCGAGTTTGAAGCATCCAGTTGGATAAAGTCACATATTTTGGAGCTCAGTAAAACTTATGGAGTGGCATTCGAAGGTTTCAGGGAAGAAACACATGCATTACTAATGAAGCTCGATGAAAGAAAGAGTGTGATGGAAAAGAAAGGGGCAAACAGTGCAGTGTCAACACCTCGTCACAGAGGAATTGGCAAGAATGAGTTGAAGAACTTACAGTCAGATCTGAACGAGGAGGTCGAAGGTGCAAGGAACAGAGGGAGAGTCCTATCACTAACTCTTAAATGAAAGTAAATATTTTATCATGGAACGTCAGGGGGATTAACAAGATTTCAGCAAGGAATCTGGTTAAGAGCTCTCTTCTAAAATGGAGAGCTGATGTTTATTGCCTTCAGGAGACAAAAATCAATAAAGATGTAGAGGGGATAGCCAAACAATTGTGGTCTAGTAGATGGATGAAATGTGGGTATTCTGAAGCTGATGGTAGTAGTGGGGGGATACTAATTATGTGGGACTCAAGAGTATGGACGGGTAGTTGTGTGGAGGAAGGCAAATACTCAATCACTTACAAATTTGAAGCTGTCCACGATGGTTTTTGTTGGTTTCTTACTGGCGTATATGCTCCACACACCAGAGCTGAGAAACTGGAGTGCTGGGAAGAAATTGCAGCAGTTAGGGAGCTATGTGGAGGCCCCTGGGTCACCTGTGGGGACTTCAACACTGTCAGAACAATGGCAGAAAGGAGAGGATGCAGAAGAATAACCAATGTAATGGCTGATTTCTCGAGTTGGATAGAGGATATGGAGTTACATGACCCTCATCTAAATGGTGGGACCTTTACCTGGTACAGAGGGGCTGGCCACGACAGTGCTGCGAGACTGGACAGGTTTCTCTATTCAATTGAGTGGGAAGTACAATTCAGAAACATAAGGCAACAAATTATGCCTAGAGTTATATCTGATCACAATCCAGTTATGCTACAATGTGGTGATTGGGAACAGAGGAAGACATACTTCAAATTTGAGAACTGGTGGTTTAATGTAGAAGGTTTCAAAGATCTAGTCCAGAACTGGTGGAATGGTTTTATTGTGGACGGATGCCCAGATTTCAAATTCAGTATGAAGCTAAAGATGCTAAAACAGAAACTTAAAGATTGGAGCAGTGTAACTTTCGGGGAACTTAACAATAAGAAGAACAGCTTGTTAAGTGAGCTAGCTGAGATGGATCTGATCCAGAATGATAGGGTGCTGACAGAGGATGAGATGATGATTAGAGCAACAGTTCTAGTCGAGTTAGAAGAATTAGCGAAGAATGAAGAATCCAGGTGGAGACAGAAGTCCAGAGTGTTGTGGTTGAAACAAGGTGATAATAATACCAAGTTCTTTCAAAGAGTAGCAACAGCTCATAGGAGATGCAACACCATCGACAGGCTGATTATCAATGGGGAGGAGAATAAAGATCCAAAAGAAATCAAAGATCATATAACAGAGTTCTACAAGCAGCTATACACTGAATCAGAAAGTTGGAGGCCATCATTTGTGATGACAAATTGCCCAAGAATAAGCCAAGAGGAGCAGGAATGGATGCAGAGACCATTTTCAGAAGAGGAAGTGGTACACATTCTCAAATTGTGCGATGGAGACAAAGCCCCTGGTCCAGATGGTTTTACTATGCTTTTTTTCAAGGAGTGTTGGGGGATCATAAAGAGCGATGCGATGCAAACAATCCACAATTTCCATCAGAATGAAGTGTTTGAAAGATCCTTGAATGCCACTTTTGTGGTATTAATCCCCAAGAAGCTCGGAGCTGCGGAACTCAAGGATTTTAGGCCAATAAGTTTGATTGGTGGAATGTACAAAATCATCGCTAAGCTGATCACCGAGAGAATGAAAACAGTGATGGGGAGACTGATTGATGAGCACCAAATGGCTTTTTTGAAGGACAGACAGATAATGGATGCCTCTTTATTGGCAAATGAGTTGGTGGACTCCAGGGAAAAAACAAAAGATACCAGGTATCCTATGCAAATTGGATATAGAGAAGGCATATGATCATGTCAACTGGAACTACCTCTGGAAAGTTCTGAGTGAAATGGGGTTTGGGAGGAAATGGGTGAATTGGATCAAGTTTTGCGTGTCAACAGTGAAGTTCTCAATCATTATAAATGGGAGTCCTGAAGGTTTTTTTCAATCACAAAGGGGATTGAGACAAGGAGATCCCATGTCTCCTTTCTTATTTCTCCTAGCAATGGAGGGACTCAACTACATGGTCAGAAAGGCTAATGAAATGGGGTGGATAAGAGGTTTTGGTGCACACACAAACAGAGCCAATAATATGGAGGTCACACACCTTCTCTATGCGGACGACTCTTTAGTGTTTTGTGGTGCAGAAGTGTCGCAAATTAGACATTTGAGGGCAATACTAACCATTTTTGAAGGCATATCAGGACTACATGTGAACTGGCAGAAGAGTTGCTTGTTCCCGGTTAATCAAGTTAATGACATGCAAGGCCTTGCCGACAACCTGGGCTGCCAAGTAGCTTCTCTTCCCACCAAATACCTGGGGATGCCCCTGGGCGCCAAGAACAAAAAATTGGAAGTATGGAGTGAAGTTCTGGAGAGAAGTGAAAGGAAGCTGACAAGGTGGAAGAGTCAATATATATCCCTGGGAGGTAGATTGACTCTCATAAAATCAGTTCTGGATGCACTTCCGACTTATATGCTAAGTCTTTTCCCACTACCAAAAAGTATTGGAAAGAAACTCAACAAGCTGAGAAGGGTCTTCCTCTGGCAAGGAAATAAAGAGAAGCAAGGATACAACCTGGTTAAATGGGAAGAGGTGACAATGAGCAAAGCACAAGGAGGTCTGGGCATTAAGAAATTGAGTACTCAGAACACCAGCCTGCTGCAAAAATGGTTGTGGAGATTCTGTTGTGAAGATATGGCATTATGGAGGAGGTTTATTGCAGAGAAATATGACCTACAAAGCAACTGGATAACTGAAGAGGTGAATGGCACTTTTGGGTGCTCTGTATGGAAAACCATCAGAAGGATGTGGCCTGATTTCAGTGCAAAGGTGACCTTCAGAGTGGGGAATGGTTTGAAGACCAGTTTCTGGAACGAGACCTGGTTAGGTGACGTAAATCTGAGGATACTTTTTCCCGATCTGTACATTATCAGTCTACAGCAGAATGACACTATAGCGCAAATGTGGACCCCTCAAGGTTGGGACCTTATGTTCAGAAGGGCTCTAAATGATTGGGAGGTTGGAAGAGTAGCAGACCTACTGCATGCTTTAAACTTGTTTCCAGGCACTGTCACAGAGCTTGACAAACCAGTTTGGAGACTGCATAGCAGAGGGGTTTTTACAGTTAAATCATGCTATTGGGAGAGGAATACCAATCATCTCCTGACAACAGTTTGGCCTTGGAAATTAATCTGGAAAATTAAGGTTCCTTTAAAAGTTGCATGTTTCACTTGGTTGGTAATTAGAAGAGCTTGTCTCACCCATGAAGTGCTACAAAGAAGAGGTATACAGATCTGTTCAAAGTGCTACATGTGCGGACAGAAGGCTGAAGTAAATGGTCATTTGTTTTTGCATTGCAAGATAGCTACAGATCTGTGGAACATGTTCGTTTGTATACTCAGGGTTAACTGGACAATGCCCAGAACCACTTTTGAGGTCCTAACACACTGGCAAGGAATCGGAAAGAGAGGATCAAAAGAAGATTGGTGGAAAAATATCCCTGCTTGCATATGGTGGACACTATGGAAGGAAAGGAATGGGAGATGTTTTGAAGGAAAGGTTAGCAGCCTAGAGGAGATCAAGATGAAATGCCTTAGTCTTTTGTATTTTTGGTGTAAGCAAAATTTAGTGGGGAAGTAGATAGCCTTGTGGAGTTTAAAAGCCAATTGTAAAGTTAGTTTTGTCTTTTTGGATTTGAGTATGATGGCACCCCCTGGGGGTTTGTAAATCCCACCTAATCGATTTTGATGAGGTCTTTTGTGTGAATACAAAGTTACCTATTTCAAAAAAAAGGAAAATGTAAACTTAAAATAAAACAAGGCATACACAAACAAAATTTGATATGTTAGGCACATACAAGAGGTAAAACTACGCTCTATGCCTACTAGGAGAAGAGGATGTTGTGATGGAAGTTTGGGAAATGAGGATGTTGCAATGGATGTGTGGGAATATTAGGAAAGATAGGATTAGAAATGAAGATAATCGGGACAAGGTGGGAGTGGTTCCAGTGGAGGACAAGATGTGAAATGCTAGAATGAGATGGTTCGGGCACTTTGGGCATGTGAAGAGGAAATGCATGGATGCCCTAATACGGAGAGGTTCGCTATGGATGGTTTCAGGAGAGGTAGAGGTAAATCTAAGAAGTATTGGGGTAAGGTGATTAGAGTGGACATGTGCGATTGTAGCTTAATGAGGACATGACCTTAGATAGAAGGGTGTGTTGGACTTGAATTAGGTTAGTAGGTAGAGTGTGTTGTCTTGTTGTCCGTTCATATTAGTAGTCATACTACTACAATGTAGTTTCTTGTCCTTCGATTTCTATTACTATCTGTTGAATCCTTCTACTTCGATTATCGTATTGTTTTGTTGTAGTTTTTGTTCAGCTACTAGTTGTTGCTTTGTATTCGTTGTTGATTCTTGTACTTCAGTTACTTCCTTTTTTTGGACTGGTTTGGATTATTTTTCCTTGAGCCGAGAAAATAGCCTCCCTGCCTCTGAGGTAGGGGTAAGGTCTACATAGACTCTAACCTCCCCAGATTCCACTTTATGGGACTACACTGGGTATGTTGTTGTTGTATGTCTACTGGGAGAAAATATTTACGCCACATAGCCCATATTTTTAGTTTCTTACTCGGTTTAGCCCATATTTGTGTAATGTATAATATTATATATTGGGCTACATGGTGTAACATTTTATGTTGGGTTGTATCTTTTTGAAAACTTTCCCATACAAAATATCATTGATAAATCTTGTTTCTTTCCTCATATCATCTTGTGGTTTCTAATCATCTCCCACTTCCTTTCATAATCATCTTCTACAATGACACCCATTCTCAATTACTAAACACAAGCAATAGTGCTTGTCTATTAGAAGAGAATAGCGTAAGCCATTTTTTGCTCTATATATCATACAATAGTCCAAAAAAGGACTGAGAGGAAAGATACACATCAAATTTTATCTTCTTTTTTCCGTCTACTTTTATATGACTATGTCCATGCACCTTGTAACCATTCCTACATAAGCAGAACATGCTATTTCATCCATATCCAATCAAAAAAAAATGGTGGAGAAACTTTTAGCATAGCAAAAAAGAGCAAGAATACTAGTTTCAGAGAAGAAAAGAGGAGCAAGAATACTTGGAAATGAAACAATTCAGAAACTATCTTACCTCTCCAGCAAAGAGACGAGGTCTTAAACCTAATGCAGAGCAAGGAGCATCAAGCAGCACACGATCAAAGCTATTGGGAGAAAACCCTTTAGACTTTTCAACCCTCCCACCAGCAGTGTGATTCCTTCCTGGCCCGTTTTTTAGTTGCCTAATACGTTTTCGTAGTTCAGCTTTACTAGGGTACTGACCATCCTTCAGCTGCAAATCATTGACTGAGAGATTTGTTTAGTTACTCAGTTAACTGGAACTTTCAGTAAACATTTTAAAACTGAATTTACAGAATATGATCTTGTAAAAATGTCCTTGAATTAAGAGCATCCTGAGCTAGAATTCTTCAAAAGGCTATCAAACCAGTCTGATCAAGCAACTTATATTACAAAATTTAATCAAATAAATATCCACTGTTTATTATACACACATATAGATGTAGAGGTGGCAATACTGACCACCAAAATATTGTAACCCGCCCACAACATAATGGGTTAGGCATGGTCAACGCACATCAATCAAGTGGAATCACTGGTAGGGACTCTCCCATTTTTATGAGATCCCAAAAAATAAACAAGTAGATGCCGAAACCTCTTGACAAGCTAAAAGAAACACCAAAAGATTGTTCTTTTTAAATAGATATACAACAAACAGAATACAACATTAATAACACATCACCGAACTGGAAAATATCATGATCAAATTGAAAGTTTTCGAACTACTCACAATTCTTTTCGAATAGCAACTTTGCATCAAATCCATCTATACCAGTGGATAATAAATCTGATGTTCGCGCATCCTCAGCACTGCTTGTGTTAGGCAAACTATCAGATTCAGCTCCATGGCAAACAGACTTCAGTGCATCAAGCTTATATGTAGTTATACAGCTTAAACCCATCTCAGCCGCTAATTTCTGAATTCCAAGCACCTGTATAATTGTAACACAATTAGATCTCTTCAAAGAAGTGGACCAGCAAAATTTGGCCCTCTTCTGTACAGTTCAAAAATTGGAAATAGGTTTGAATTCGGAACTGGAGAATTGCAAAAATTTACAGTTTCTTCTTAGACACAGGAATTTCTTTTTATGTACTTCAAAAGTTCTTTATTTACTAATTATGAAATGATGAGGTATGAGTATTTGGAGCAGAAGGCCTTTACCTCAAATGAATGCGCTTTTAACCTCAAATATAAGCATTAGGCAGGCTTTCCTATCAAGGCTGGAAGATTTTGGCAATAAGAGTTCTGTTAGGTAGTCTGTATATATATATATCATACTTGGTGCCCACATTGGAAACCATGTATTATGTAATGTGTAAGTATGGAATGTAAAAGGTTCGCTGTAAGCAATTGTCAACACACATCTTAATGATATTTTTTTCTCGTGCCTATACTTTTTTTTTGAGATAAAGGTAACTGTATATTCACAAAAACAAATTCATCATTCAAACAATGATGAGAGTAAATCACTTTAAGAAACCTCAATAATATTTACTCATGCCTTTATTTCTCACATGGTATCAGATCTTTGGGGAGAAACCCTCGTTGTGCGATAATCAGTGACATCAGGGACAGTCACCAAGCATTCTTTTCCGGCGACCTCCACCTCTGATCTGAGGTAGAGACGACTGGTGATTCTGAACTGAGCCCACCCATTTCCAACAGTTCCGATAACCAGATTTACAGATCTAGTCATATTTTCACTTTCCAACAATTTGTTCTCCAGTTCCATCAGCTTCTCTAGTTTCTCCTTTTACTGTGTGTGTTGCCTGAATGAACAATCTTTACTCTTCAGATTTTATTGCAGGGCACTAGCAGTTTAAGCAACTCTTCGACGGGTTTTTAGACAGAACTGATACTGTTCCCTTCCTGATTATTGATTGTTTACTATTTTGTTTCCCCAAAACTCTCTTCAATCCAACCATGTCTTTCAGGTTTCACGTTTTAGTTCCAAATACACGGGATTGGAAATCTAAGTCTTATGATTACTCTGGAACCCTCAATGGGAAGTTCTATCTATTTAATTTGGGCTTCCTTGTTGAGTTGTAGTGCAAGGTCATGTGTCCAAGATCACTAAACTAAAAAGGAAGCCAGTGTGATGAGAAGGCCCAAGATCAAAGGGGAAGGTTGATGCTCAGTTGTGCAGTCATTTATGGTGATCTATTGATTGCAAGTTGATACCTTTAGTTTGGGAAAAGGCTCGTACTTTATACATTAATTGCATATCTCATTTCTTTTTCTTTTTTTGATGAAGCAAGGTATTTCATTAAAAAGCATCAAGCAGATGCAGAATTACAGAATAGACAAAAGGGCTCACAGAGAAAATAAGCAAAAGTTGTTAGCTCCTTTACAATCCTCAAACTAGTATTAAAGAGCTAACAAAGTTGAGAAATTGTTCAGTGCTAAATAGCATATCTCGTTTCTATGATGTGATTCAGATGACTAACTTAAGGAAGCAGAAATTAGATGTCTTCTTATTTGGGATTGGTACAGACAGCCATTGAGGAATTTGAGAAGTTGATATCAGTCACTACTAGTGTTGAAAAACAACATGAATAACATAGGAAAATGTTTCTAGTTCTTACACTTATAGGACTTCCTTATAATTTTTGAGAAATTTAACATTTTATAAACAAAATACACCAATAGCGTATTTAGTAGTAATTACATCAGGAGTTTACAGTAAGCAAAACCAAAGATCTCTATCATCTATATCCCTCTTAAACTATCTAGAAAGTGAGTAATATCCTCCACCTTTTTGGGAGGACATAGAAGTTACACCAAAAATAAAAGGTTATAAGACAATTCAACTTCAAACTCTAAAAGGAATGCTCTTGTTTTCAAAACATCTTTGGTTTCTTTCCTTCCATATTGTCCAGCAGATGCAAACAAGGACAATCTTCCATCTGTCCTTGTGGCCTGACATATTTCCTTCTCTATTCCAGCATGTTAGAGCTTCTGAGGTATGCCTTGGCATGGACTAACTGATACCCCTCAAGTTAAAAAACACCTACCACAGTTTTTCTGTCACTCTACAATGGATGAAGAGAAACAATCTCTATTTCTCTTTCACAAAAAAACATTTGGAACATAATTGCTTTCCCCTTTTCATTAGATTGTCCTGAGTTAGTATTGCTTGCCTGGCTACCAACCAGGTAAAACAAGCAACCTTGTGAGGTACTCTAACTTTCCATATTATCTTCCAAGGCCATGGTAAGAGCATTGCAGCTGGCCTATGAAGGTGTCTGTAAGCTGATTTTACTGTAAATTTCCCATTGTTGGCCCTCAACCAGTGTAGATTATCTTCATTATTGTGAAGGTTATTGGCCTGCTCCAGAGAATTGTAGAAAAATGTTAGGTTGTCTATCCCCCAGCCATTCAACATTCTCCTGAAAGAGAGGTTCCATCTTTGGTTGTCCCTGACATTTGCTACTGTTGCCTCCAGTTGGTTCAGATTATAGATCATAGGGTAGAATTGTTTTAAGGGGTATTGACCAACCCACATCGTTTCAGAATGATGTCCTCCTTCCATTTCTATAACAATTATTGAATTTCCCCACATTTTAGGCCACTGATTCCTAATTATTCTCCATAGACCTACCCCATAAAGGTTTCTAACTTCCTTAGTGATCCGTAAGTCTTCCGTTGTGTATCTGGAAGCTATAGCATCTTTCCACAAACCTTGTTCCCCTGAGACAAACCTCCATAGCCACTTCAATAGGAGACTCTGATTCTGTACTTTGAGGTTCTTTATGCCCATTCCCCCTTCTTTTTTACCTTATATTGTTCCTACCGTGGATGAATTCTCTCAATTACTTCGCCTTGTCGCTATCTAGTCGAACGGTGATCTCATCACCAACCATTGACTCCTCTGTTCTCATATCTCAGACAATAAAAAATCATACATCTCAGTTTATGTAGAATCGAAGAGAAGTCGTTTTTAATATCTCAACCCCAAGTGTAGCGATTGTAAGAGGATTGGACACATCTGTGAACTATGATATACTTTACATTGTCGACCATCCAAAAACGTTCATGTTGCTCAAACTGCCACTGCAGGTAACCAGGGGCTTTCTTTATCTGAAGGGGAATATGAGTTCCTTCATTATGGGGGAAGTAAACTAACATCTCCACAGATTTATAAAATATGCACCTAAATCACTCCATAAAAGCTAATCCTTCCACTACCAATCATAGGCAAGTACCTGGATTTCTCTAAGTCGCCAAAGCAGCACCTGAACAAGTGTCATCTATAAAGGTGTATGCCATTGAATAAATTTGCTTCAAGTAAGGGATATGTCAGCTTACATGTCATTGTTTCTATTACTCAACGTAAAATGATACACCATTCTTAAGAAAATACTATCAATGAGCAGATCAGACTTCCATGGTGCAAGTCTCAGCAATTTAAGGACACCTTTAACCCAGGTGACAACCATCCATGTAAAATCATTTCGGTTAGCACCACGGAATCCAAAATACTGTGAAGTTAAAGATGTCCAAGTATTATAGACAATAATACACTTATAATCATCTGCCAAGTTCAGAAGGTGCACCTTATTATGAGATCTGTCAACAGCAACAACCTCCCCTTTGTCCTTCATAAGGCTTGCTATTGCTGTGGTTTTCCCCCCTGGAGCTGCACACATGTCCAATATTCTCTCTCCTGGTTGAGGATCTAGAACAATTTGTTGTAGTAAGAAAAAACATGTCATTGGAAATGAGAAAAATACTCACTTAACCAAGCAATTTTTTGCAGAAGTTACATGATAGGTTGTATTAGAGTGTTGAGGATAGACAAAAGAAGAAGAAACTTCATGCATAGAAAGAAAGGGGAATACATCTTCAAGTTATCACAAATGCAGGATGTAGAGCAAGGTACCTTATTACAAAATCAAAATTCCATTTTCCACACTACAAAATGTATTAGGCTATAGACTGAGATATACAGCAAAAACAATAGCTTAATCACCATAGTCAGAACATAATGTGCATTTGCTAGCAAGTGCCTGCACATGCAATACTTTATCGACACTCAGTAATTACTCTCAGAGTGGTCTTGTTAAAGCTGATGTTTAAGTTGGACAGCATCGCTCCAGATCAATGATAGCCATGTATAGTAGAATTTACACGAGTAAAAAACAGGTTAATACAAGGGATGGTGAAGTTTGTTAGGGCATTATACTGATATCAGACTCAAAGAAAGCAAGTATCAAGTCAAGGAGATAAACTGATGCAGCACCACCATGGATCAGAGTTGAGAGATATAAATTGTACGAAGACTTCTTCATTTTGGTATACTTTCAGAAGATTAAATCTTATTCTCAGAGAAATTAATCCCAGAGTTCATCTTTCAGAGGAAACTGGAAACAACATATCCATTTAATCAATTTACCAGTTACATCATTTGATCTTAACGCGTAATAATCAACCAAATTAATTGTTTACCATTCCTCTTCAAATTTGAACTGGCACTTAAAACTAATGTGAACTCACTGTTCTTACAATATGAATACTTCAAACTTGCAGCATATAGTCAGTAACCAAGAAACAAAGTTCAAAATGCATGAGTTACCATAAGAATATATAGTGTGCATATAATGTAATGATATAGACTCACTGTTACACAAAAAAAAATGTCTGAGAAATTATGGGCATACCTAAGGCATGTGCAGTTATTATGCTTGGAAGGTTCTGAAGAAAAATCTCGCCCTCAAGCAAATCTGAAAGCAAGATATTATAATCAATCTCACAACTGCAAAAAGAAGTTACTATTTACAGAAAATCCAAAATCACTTGGAGTATATTCTTGTGCATAATGTTTCCTTTTTTTTTTCTTTCATATTCAGAAAACCACTGTGCAAAAAGACAATAGGCAACACTGACAAAATCACTCATGGAGATGACAAGTGTACGAAGTGTTTCCTTTGTCATAAATAAAGATACTTTTAACGATCAGAGAAGACCTGTTAAGTACACTGATAACAACAAAGGTTTAACATAATGGACTTCCCCATGGCTCATTCCTTCTGCATCCCTAACAGCTCTAGACTACTAAAACATTCCATTTTCTTTATACAAGGGAAGTGGCAATAGCATCTACCCAAGCGCTACCTGCAGGAAGATAGTGATTTGCAATATTGTCGGACTCTAACCAATTGAGTTGAAAATTTGCAAATATGGCATCCCTCCAAAGAGCCTTACCTTCTTAAAGTGACCAAAGCCTTTAATGTCTCTGTCGAGAAATGGAAACTTATATTGTTTAGTGACTGTGACCAGAAATCATCATGTACACTGCTTTTTGACAACTAATGGGACCAATTCACCCCTTCTCCATTCTCAGGAAAATAAATAAGCAACCGACTATCATGATAAACATATTTAGAGAGAGCTTGGAAGGGTCTCTAACGGCAAAATATCATTCATGTAGAATCAATCCTGGGTCTAACCAGAAATTTGGTTTTAATTTGCCTTCCAAGATGGCCAGAAAATTTCTCCACATTCTAATCACTGCAATTTAGAAAGGCAAAAAAACTAAAGCTTCTAATAAAAAATTAGTAAAATCACACGGAAATAAACTCTCTTTTCTACTCTTCATGATTAATGGATGACATCTAATCAGTCATCACAAAGGAGGTGCATCAACTATTACTATACTCTAAAAAATAAAATCTATGCACCAAACGAACAAAAAAACACCATATTAGCATACTATACTTCTGTTGTTTCTGATTCTCACAGACATCTTACATCACTTCCGTCGTCGTGAACTTGAGTATGTTAAAGTTCCTCATTTCCAGTTCAGAACCATGACTTAGACTAAAAATATCAGCTAAAAGTGTAAATGTGCCATAGTAATTCTCGATAGGGATGAGAAACAGAATCGAAATTGAAGCAGTTACCCAAAGAAAAAAGGCAAACACTTTTTTATCAAGTAAAAAATAATTTCATTCATAATGAGGGAAAATCCCATATATAGAAAGGCAGAGATACCCGTCAGACCAGAATTAAGTAGCAATTTGAAAAATGCTACTGTAGATATTCTTTAAAACTAGATGGTAACAACATTTATTAAGTTGAAGCAGATTCTCATCATCAAGTGTGACAAACCAGAGTATGCCATAAAGATGTATGCACATAATTTCCTGTAAATGATTTCAAAAATACTGGAGAAGGCGAGAAACTTATACCATAAAAGGAGGGTAGTCTGTATACTCTTTCCTTCATATCCACCGCAACCCCTTCAGTAACACGAAACATCCCAGCTCTTGACATCATTGCTGTTGCTTGGCCAATGTAGAAGCCATCTCTTTCAAAATAATAAGGATCTAATCAAAACTGAGATTGGTCACTCAATTGGCTGGATGGATGTCATACAACTTTAAAATAATAAAAAGATGCCATAGATTTTATATACTGCAAAATTTGATTGTGTAAGAGAGAAGACACCATTTCAACAAATCAAGCAGATCTAGAGTATATTTCAGAAAGATCATAGCATACCTCTTTTGCAAGTAATAAATAAAAAAGACTAAAGCAAACTTGTATCCACAAAATCAGACTAGATGAAAAATTATCTTGGTATTTAACCATAAAAATGCAGTATATCCCACCATAATCATCTGAGAAGGATGATATTTCTGAAAACATTAAAATCCTTTCAGATTACATTGGTGTGAGATGAAGCTAATGGTTCAAATATCTTACCGCAAAACTATCTTTTCGTTTTGCAAGAAATTCGCCAAAATAAGGAGTCAATGACTATCACATTAAGGAGATCATTCATTGAGAAATAAATATCTGAATTTTGTGCATTAAGCGCATACCGTCACCCCAGCAAATGAAACCTTTTCTGCATCGAAACCAACTGGCTTAGCCCCAGTTCTAACTACTAGTTGGAAACCAACTGGCTTACCAAGTAGACAAAATCATTTGGGATACATCTAAAAAGGGGGAATACACAGTCAAGGAAAGTTACGATCTAATGTGTTCACAGGGTGGAATTCTGGAGGATTGGCCATGGAAGCATGTCTGGACTCTGGAGGACCAAGCTACCAATCAAAGTTACATGCTTGGCCTGGGCATCTCTCAATAATGCTTGCTTGACACTAGATAATCTTAGCAGAAGGAAAATTACTCTAGTAAACAGATGTTATTTATGCAAACAGAATCTTGAGAGTGTAAGCCGCCTATTCACACACTGCCCCATCACAACTGATATTTTGAACTTTTTCTTATCTCTATATGGCCTTTCCTGGAGTATGCCCAGGTCGATCAAGGAGTCCTACATCAGCTGAATCTCTTGGAGAGTTGACAAAGCCATCAAGAAAGTCTGGAGGATGATCCCAGCAATCATTTTTTGGGTTATCTGGAATGAAAGGAATTGCAGATGCTTTAATGGAATTTCAATCCCTACCCACTCTCTAAAGAGTAAGTGTTTAGTTTATCTGTTCAGTTGGAATTTTCTTTCACCTGTCAATAGCATTGACATGTTTTTGGATTTTGTTAGCTCCTTAGCTTTAGCTTAGGCTACTTGTACTAGTGCTGAAATTTATTTATTTATTGCCCTTCTGTACTAGAGCTAACTGGTCACACCTTTTGTAACTTGGCATCTTCCTGATGCCCATTCAATGATAAGCTTTAACCTTCTAAAAAAAAACTACTAGTTGACGCAGATGTTACCCATACAAAATCATTAACTAACTGATGCCCTGTCATATATGGGCAAAAGTGAAAATGAGGAAACACCAAAAGCAAGACCAAAATGTATACTGCAGTTACACGCACATGTCAAGTTTATGTCAAAGAAATAGTAAGTTCCTCAGCAAACTTTTCCACAGAGAAACAGATTAATGCCTTTGGGGTCAAATGAGTGTAAGAATTCAGAAAGAACCCTTTATTAGATATGAAAAGGTACTAAACAAGAAGTTAGTTTACCTTCTTGTGATCCTTGTATAACAGTCCCGCGTGTCATTGCAACACCCCATCCACCATCTGGACCATACTGTTCCACAGCAACTGAAACTGCAACTGCATCACCTCTTTCAACATGAGCACTGCATGCCAAAACACCAGGCACATAAACCTAGGAAATATGACAAGTAGATGGTAAGATTGTGTCAGGTACTAATTTGTAATTTAACAAAAGCACATGCACTCTTTACAAAAAAATTCTAGCAAATCAAAGAAGAAAGATCTTCCGGTGTTCCAATGCCATTGTTTTGGTAAATTGCCAACTTGCAGGAACATGCGTCTCCTGTTGGTATATTTGGGCCCCTATAGACAAAAAAAAACTAATGCATAACATCAAGTGATATTGAAGGTAGAGATGTCACTAATCCTGACAAAGGTATGAGCCTATTACATAGCTCCAGATAAAATGTGCATAGATGGAGAAGAAGGGTAAGTACTACTTGAAGTACCAGTCAAAATTTACACCCCTGAATAAGACAGGATAAATTAAGAAAAGAAAGAAGAAAAGAATAAATTGTCGAATATGATACTCACATGATTGCATGACCTTAATTCTTAGAAGTCTTCCAATTTATGCAACAGTACAGTTCCTTATTCTAATATGATTTTTTTTCTTTTTCTCCTTCTTTTTTGTAAGTTCTTTTCTAGTGCACTTTCTGGAAATACTTCCAAATAGAACTAGAGATGGAATTCGAAAACTTAAACAGCTCCGCTGAAAGCACCGTCACTGATTCAACGGGAAGGTCAACTAATGATTGATGGATCGCTCCCTCCCTATCCGTCTCTTAATACCTAATTCCACTAATCCGTTGTTACTGATTCATTCAAGCCATAGACTTTAGACTCTCAATTTCTTTGTCTTATTAGCTCAGGTTTTGGGCTATAATGTTGCTGAAAACAAAGGTATGTATGTTGTCTGGAAAACAGTCAAGTGTTTTAACATAATAGAGAAGATAATAGGTAAGGATGTAGAACTCTTAGACACTCATATATCAAGAACAGCATCATGAATTTGCATGCACGTACTTAAGCAGCAATATAGACAACTTAAATACACAACACATCACGTGGTAAAAGTTAGAAATATCATCATGATTTGGCATTTTTTCCTCCTATCTACAGGTTGAAATATACCTACTATGCACATTACTCAGGAGAGAGACAATGAACTTCTCCAATTCAACTCAAAGTGAATTCCTATAGCTGACCAGGTTTATATAAGTCTGAATAATTACTCACTTGGGCACCACGAAGAACTGCTTCTGCACACTTTCGGCTCACAATTACCTCCTTAAGAGGTTTGCCTTCGTTGTCCCCATAATGAATTGCATGTGGTCCTGAACCTTTAACAAAAACCACATAATCCAAGCCAGGAAATTGACACTTTGAGATACTTTTGATGGCCTTAAGAGATGCTGCACTTCCAGTGCATTTTAAGGTTGCCTTACAACAGTTATCTGGCTCCCATGTAGTAGAAGATTCTTGAACTGCAACATCGTGCATTCCTCTTTCCTTAAAAATTTCCAAAAGCTTCTCAATAACAGCATCACTTGTTGATTTGAGCGTATTCACACGGATACAAGAGTAACATGATGGGCGCCTAAGAAAAGCATTAACATTTGAATGTTAGAAGGAAACATCTACAATAACAATATACCACTGAAATCCCACATGAAGGGAACATCTACACATAAAGGAAATATCAGTGACGCTTTTCGTGTCTACAGTTAAGGCGTTCAAATATTACAAACAAAGCAAAGAAACGTGTCTATACATACAGTTGGAAACAAGAAGAAATCATAACAAAAGGAGGAGTACTTATTTTGTAAACGGTAATAGAAATACTCTGTTCAACTTTCCGTACCAAGATGATACTGACAAAAGTAAAATAGTCTAAACTTGTATAGATCATATAGTTAAAGTTTGTAACAAGTCTATAACATCAAACAACGCAGTAGAAAACTCCTTTTGTGCTAATACAATGAATGTTTTTCACAAATTTGAATTTAACAACAGCTATACTCTCCAGCTTTCCTTAAAAGCATCTTCTACTTAACAAACAAAGGAAATACTCGGAATCCACATGAATAACGAATTTAATTACTAATAGTCCTTTACTATTAATCTCTTATTTATCTCAACCTCATTTTCGCCAAAATTTATTAGCATTAGATTTGTAGTACTGAATACCAGGACCTACAAACACAAAGATTGAGCTCAACTCTATTTCATCAAATCTAAGAACTTCTTATCAATTCAACATAGAACTCAACTACTAAAGTTGAAGTACAAGTTATCTAACAAATACATAACAATACAGAAAGTGTAAAGTGGAAATGACAGATTGCAAATTCGTAGTAATAGTATAAGGTAGATGAGGCAAACAGCATACGTGAGAGCAGTAGAAATCCGAGAGAAATGATCAGCTCCGTAAGCTTTGATGAAGTATTCTTCAACCATAGGGTTCCATTTCAAAGTTGGGCTGTAACGGTAACGCGTTGATTGATCCATCTGTACACAATGTCAGCATAAGCTGTTGAAACTGTGAGATTAGGGCAGAGAGAGAGTATGCGTTTTGTTACCTGAGAAATGGAAGTGTTGCTGTGGAGAGTGAAGAAGCTTCTACGAATGGCTTTGATGAAGTCCCTCCCTTTCTGCATTCATTCAATTTACAGGCGGAGGGGGGGGAAGTGTTTTCCAAAGCATTGCGATGTTTATATACCAACCCGAAACCAGTATTCTCGGGTCATCAATTACCCAAGGAAAGAAAAAAAGGAACTCGGGTCATGTTCAAGCACAAACTGCACGTATTTTATTTTTGAGAACGAAAAGAAAAAAAAGAAAATGACCAAATAGGCTTTAACGAATAGTTAATGTTTTATTTTGGTCCTTAATATATTTCACTGTATGAGAATAGTCCTTAATGTATAACAAAGATGTTTATTTTGGTCGTTAGTATATTTCACTTGATTAAAATAGTCCTTAATGTGTGATAGAAAGTGTTCATTTTGGTCCTTTATCTTTATCCTAACATATTTATTTACTAAGGAATGTGTCCGCGCTTCGCGCGAGGATTAATAGATATGTGTTAGGATGTTTTTTCTTTTGGATTAATTATATTATTTGAACATATCATTATGTTTTCATTTGAAATGATGATACATGATGAAACTTACCAACTTTAGTATCTATTTAATGAGAATAATACATTGTTAATGAATAAGTCAGAATATATACTTTATTAAAAAGATACTTTATTTTCATTGCTAAAATATATTAATAAATACATCAACAACGGTGTATCATTAGTTATTAGATTGATGGTTAGAGAATATATTCTCTAATCATAAATTATTTCATCTCCCTATTACATAGAAGCCAATACATGTAAAATGCCATGTCATTCTTTGTTGGTTTGATCTTGTGAAGCTCCTCTGTATATATATTTTTTCAACTGCTCTTGTTCCTTTCTGAAATATGCAATTCGCTCTTGCATAATATTTTCATACATCAATTTAACCGATTTTGCTTGATTCTTCAGTTGTATCTATATTATAAAATAAATGTTTAGAAGAACAATTTAAGATAGTTATGAATATTATCATTTATATTTTACCTTGACAATTATCTGAATTGATTATCTGTGGGCGATCCTTATTTGTCTTATCCATTGTAGTACTTTTGTATAAGTATTTGTCAAAGTCAAACTAAGGATAGAGTATTGCAATAAAAGGTAAGTTACATATAATAATATTGAACATTGAAAAACTAACCTCAATTAATCAGTATGAGCAGATGGTGACTATCAAGATAAATGGTGTGTGTGGATGCTTATTATTTTGTTTGTGGTATTTATACCACTTTTTTCATTGATTGGTTGTGCTACTATTTAATTGTTTTATTTGATGAATTAATTCTTTTGATTTTTTATATGTTTGTGTAAAGTTAAGTGTGAAGATTTTGTAAATAATTGGAGGATTGTTGGGGATTTGGATTATTTTTGTATTTATTATGATAGATATGTTATGAATTTATTATGGAGATATAGTAAATATAAAGTTGTGGAGGAATAGATATATATAAGTTTTCACATTGATCATGTAGATCAACGTCAATATTGTCAAGTTTATTTTACAACTTTTTTCATTGGTTGTGATGTTCATTTAATTCTTTTAATTAATGAGATTATTTTTTGAATTGTTAAATTTGTATGTAAAGATAAGTGTCAGTCACTTTTAGAAAGAAAAGGCATAAAGGTTGATTTTTGTATGTGTTTCAATGAATTTGGGTAAAGCCGTAGAGAGTATTGCGAGAGAGCTTGAGAGTATCTGTTTATGAGGTGCGCAGTTGCTTGTGTTATTGATTTGTTATATAAATAAAGGGAAAGGTGGACTGAAATTGCTTAGTATGGTGTTATTGTATAGAAAGTAATCCACACATATTAGGACATGATATGACGTTACATAAATCTTGAGATTTAAAATATCTTTATAGATAAAATGTTAAATACTACTAAGATTTTCAATGATATCCCTGGATGTAGTTTAACTACAAGCACTCATCCATGAAAATTCCAACGGCAGGAAGTTAAACTCGAGTCGATAACATCCTTGCTATCTGTGGATAACCATATGGATTGTCCAATTTATAACATTTTGTTGTTTGCTCTGCATCATGCTTGGCATCTTTCTTCCACCTATAAATCCAGCCACCTACATGAGCATTATTTGGTGGAAGAAAAATGATGTTAGCTTGTCCTGTCAAAGCTGAAAAGGGATCATTAATTTCATTTGATTCACATTGGTAGTACATCAGTTATGTGTTCAAAAAAAATTCAGAGTATTCATTGTCTGTAAATTTTTGGGTAGGCCTGCAGTACACCTTAAACGTTTGTTTCTTTTTTTCTTGATAGGAATGTGAAACCTTATTTGCACACACAACATGATTTCGAGTTGTTTAATTAGATACAGTGTGAATTGAGCTAGACAATTAAAGTAACTTGAAGTCTGCTGCAGGGGTACACATTATAATCAGTCGTTTAGTATGTAGTTAGATGAAAAGTAATCTTCTATAGTATGCTATTAAATGTTTTACATGATACACATGATATTTGGTGATGATTTGAATAAAATTAAACATGGTACCCAAAGTCTAATACAAACTCACCATCTCCGTGTTAGTTGGTTGCATTTTCATCATTGATGAAGAAGTTGTGCTTCTATACTAACTTGATCGCCATTATAGATGTCCCATGCTTTGTATTAGGATCAAAGTCTTCATCGAGGAAAATAACATTAGCACATATGTTTTAGTGCAACATAGGCGGGTGGCAACCATGATGTAACCAAACAAGACCCCTAGCAGCACCCAAACCAATTGAAAACCGAGTAGGCCAATCCAGTTCACTTAAGAAGGGTCCTTCTTCCATTCCTCAACCACCCTCACCCCAACCGACAATAACAAAGTAAACCAAAAGTATACTATTTTTTAGTTATAAATGGTAAATCCAAGCTTCTTTATTAGTTTTGCAGTAGAAAGAGTAAATTCAACATTCAGACTAAGAGATGAACATTCAGATAACTGTATTGATAAAATCAGTAACTTTTCTTCTTATTTTTTGTTTTGTTTGTATCGAGAAACAACAACAATTAAATTTACGTAAGCATGATTTATGAGCACCACAAACTCAAGAAAGTTCTTATGTAAACTATTTACAGTGGATGCTACACAAATAATTTTTTCCACCAGTCAATCCCTTTGTTGTGGTAGGATAGTATGGAAGAACTTACTTCTCTAGTTGTGGTCTATTGTAAGGAATAAACTACTTGAGAAGCAACCTCATACAATAATAAAACCACACATTAATCTAGGAATAGACGGGGACGCAATGCCAATGCAAACAACATATTGAGCAAATAATATAAATCTTGGATACCAATTATATGGAGAGCACTACCGTACCTTCATCGCCGAAGAGAGAAAGTTCATGTCAACACCTTTCCTTCGTGTTCCAAAAGTTGGATTCATAACCACTGTTTCAACAATCTGACCTACACATTGTTGAATATTAATGAGTTGAGAGAGAGAGATATATTTTTTCGGGGCTAAAAAGTAAGGTGAAAAAGATACCTCTCCATTTTAAGTTGTTGATGTCACATTGAATAAATTACATGTCTAGCTGCAAATGAAATAGTTTAAGAAATGAATGAAACACAAATTAGTACAAGTGAGATTATACATGAAAGGCTACATGTATCAATCAAAACCAATGTAAAAAGACTCAGCCTTGAACGCTTTCTCAACCTTGCAACTGAAGAAATATAAAATTGACTGTAACATCAAATACCTCTATTTGTTAAGTTTTAAACTTAAAGGCAACTTATGGAAGACAATTATAAGAAACTAAGTCATCCATGAGTCAACATCCACTTGAAACTATTCCACATAGGCAACTGGTGGAATGCAATTATAAGTAACTAAGTCATTTTATTTGAAATTTATGTCGTGAATGAGTGCAAAGTACCATTTAACAGATGTTTATAAACCAAAAGGTTCTCCTCTTCAACAACACAAACCCAAAATTGATTGTAACAACAAATACTTCTATGTGTTAAGTTTTAGTCTTAAAGGCAACTTATGGAAGACAATTATAAGAAACTAAGTCATCCATGAGTCAACAGCCACTTGAAACTATTCCTCAAAGGCAACTAGCGGAAGGCAATTATAAGTAACTAAGTCATTTTGTTTGGAAGTTATCTCGTGAATGGGTGGAAACTACCATTTGATAGGTGTTTAAAAACCCAAAGCATCTCCACTTCAACAACACAAATCCAAAAGTGAATGTGACATCAAATACCTCTATGTGTTAAGTTTTAGACTAAAAGACAACTTATGGAAGGCAATTTTAAGAAACTAAGTCATCCATGAGTAAATATTCACTTGAATTATATATTGTAATATCTATCATGGATGCTTTTTGTGTTAGAATACATTTTTTGATGAAGAAACACATAATCCACATTGGGAAAGATGTAAGGGCAGCCACCAAGGGAAGATCCATAAACATATACTATTTCCTTATATCTCATTGAATGTGATCAAAGTTGTAAATATTTTACGAAATAAAAGGTGTGTGTGTCAAAGATACTGGAATATAGCTCGAACCATGTTTTATAAGTCATATAGTCCAAAGCAATGCCTCCCGTGCAATTTTATCACCCTTGTTAATTCGTACAGTCCAAAGAAATGCATCCAGAGTCATTTAGATTAGCTCCAACATCATTTCCCTCTTTTCCTTCTTACCAGATTCAAGAACTCTTATTTTAACAACCCTACTTTATAATTACAAACGTTTTAAACCAACTCCCAGCCAAAGTATTCATATGGATACAAATCAAACACTCAGACGCATCCAAAGCTTATACACACCTCAATGTCAAAGTATTCAGGGTCAATTAGACACCTTTTTATGTATATTAAGATTAATTATCATTCCAATACCGATAAAAAAATTCTCCTACATCTTCAAAAAGTCATCCAACCATAGCTAAACCTTACTTCAAAAACAAAGAAAAGGAACAACTTATTAATTATGTCACTTTTATTTATTTTAATTCGTCGACTTATTAGTGTGTTCCACTTCCGAAACTCAGAGTTCAAAGTGCCAGCAAAATGAATAGTAGGGAAAACCTCAACTCTGTATGTACGGCTACATAGCAAGCACCAAAGGAAGAATTTGAACAACGTAGAGACTAATACAGGGGAATATAAGAGAAGAAGAAGCACTAAACCCGCTCATGCATAGCCTCAAGAACTAACTGAATATGAAGGATGACCATGTTTTTTGTGCACATAGCACCAACATTTATTTGATTACATAAAACTGAAGAAGAATTTAATTATGTATACAGAAGATACACTTGCAGACTGCTTAATCAAGTGATATCCGTCAGGTATTCGATTTTGCTGACAAAGCCATCGTATACAAACAACCAAATATATTAATAGTAGAAGTTGTCTAAGTTGGGATAAAACCATACAAGTATGAATATCATCACCACGGACAACAATCATCTACTTATTAAACTAAACTTAAAATGGTAAAAGGACGAAACAACTTAACTAAGCTCAAAGGTGTCTACTTATTAAACTAAACCAAAAATTATAAAAAGGACAACTTAACTAAACTCAAACAACAGTAAACAATTACCACATAATTCTTTCACTGTAGTAGCAGTCACTATCACTATATACGGGCCAGTATCCTTGTTGTACAGATAAGGAGCAAACTTCTCCCCAAGTTCATCCCATAAGGTAATTTTTTATTTAGCAGAACTATGCAGAACAAAGATAAATCAGAATTTAAAAGTGAAAAATTCATTTGATTCATCTAAATTTAATAAAAAGAAGTGAAGTTATCATCTATTAGTAGACATGTGCCAATAATGTAGAAGCTTAAAATATGTAAGGAAAATAACTCCCAATGAGTTCCCATTCAGTAGCACCTAAGATTAGCCATCATAAAAATATTTAACAATTATTTTGTAAGAAGATAACATACTAAAACTAATTAAAATGAGATGAGTGACTTACTATTTTGTAACAATGTGGATTTTCCTTTTTTTTTCAGTTCGAACCAGCGCTTTTCATATCACCAATTTCGTATAAACAACCAAACCATTCACATCTACAGACGAGGAAGAAGTTCAGTTAAAAATAGCGTAGATATTTAAATATTTTAGTGAAACACGCTATATATAAATATCGACTTGATAAAACAGTGTTGTTGTTCACCCCTGAATCAATCATATCTGGTTTGATGAAGTGAAATCCTTTTTTAGGAATATCAACAATATCTTCATATAAATCCTTGATTGTAGTTGAGGTGAAGGAAAAAAATTTCAATCAATTTTCAACAGGTCTATATCCACCGATGCTTTCAACAGCTTTCAAGTTCTTAATGATAAATAAAGAACCTTCACTCAACTTACCTTTAAATCTGTTAACTTGATTCTTCCTAACTATGTCATGCATCAAATTTCCCTGATAGATAGTAGAAGGATATTTGTGTTGATGAAAATGCGTAGAATAATATAGATTTGGAAAATTACATTGTACGTAATAACATACCTTACCTTTTTGTCAACAAATATCATTTCAATACTGATCAGCTCCCCATATTTGTTGGGAATAATGGCATACCAGAGTCTACAAAGTCGAACCCTTATCAAGAAATCATCTCAACCAGAAACCAACTTTGAAATGAAAGAATAAGCCATTGTAACAACTCAATTTAAATTTTTACAAAGAATGCAATTTTGAATATGAAAAAAGAGTCACTATCAATCAAACTATATATATGACAAGAATTAGGGTATGAAAGGCCACAAAAATCAATTAACAGTAATGATTCAGAGATTAATACAAATTAAAAACATTATAGTTACAAATCATGAAGTTCAAAACAGAAAACGCACCTTATGAAACTTATGAAGTTGGGAGGGAGAAGGTCGGCAACTGAGGAAATAACTTATGCCAAAAATAAAAATAACAGATGCCTAATAAACTAACCTATTCAATTGGATAATTAAGGTGATGTTAGTGGGCTGGGTTTGAAACGTTTTGGATGGGCTGAGTTTTAGAGGTTGTGGGCTGATTAATTAATTACTCCTATTTAGTGTGATCTTTTAATTCAGTGTTTTTTTAGGTTAAAACTCAGATTTTATTTTAATTAAAAAGATAAAATAGGAAATTACAAATGCTGGCTATTGGAGGCTGCCACATCAGCGATTCTAGATTCAAATATATATATATATATATATTAAAAGCGTTAAATTTTATTGACGTGGCTAACAAAATTTACCATTGTTGTCTTTTTTATTAGCTTCAAAAAAAGAACTCCATAAAATTTACCATAATTTTCTCTAGTTTCTCCAACAAAATTTACTATTTTCTTTTTCTAAAATATCATTCTACTAATATAATACCTATTTTTGTTTTAAGCAAGAGAAAATAATAGATTTTGTTAGAGAAAGTAAAGAAAATGGAGTTAGATTTCATGAGATTTTTTTTTTAAACTAACAAAGATGACATTAGCATTGAATTTTGTTAGCCACATAGGGTCTATAATAAACTTAACATCTTTTTTGGATAAATCTATTAATTTTAGTATTAAGGGTCAAAATGAACACATTAAAAATCATTTCAATCAAGTGAAATATAATAAGGACCAAAATTAATAAATTTATTATACATTAAGGATCATTTCAATCAAATAAAATATATTAACGATCCAAGCATTATTCATACGGACCATTTTAGTCATTTGCTCATGAAAAGAAACGTGCACATGCATTTATGGACCAAAAATCATTTACTCCCTCCTTTTAACTCTAAATTTGAGTACTGCTTAATGTAATTATTTAATATTGGACAAATAATATGATACTTCCTCCGTTTAAAAAAAGAATAGTCTCATTTCATTTTTAATTTGTTTAAAAAAGAATGACTCCTTTTCTTTTTTGACAACATTTTAACTTTAACTTTCCACATGACATGTTTTAGGCCACAAGATTAAAAGAGATTTTAGTACATTTAACATAATTTTAATCTAGAGCCACAAGATTTAAAAATCTTTTTTTTTTCTTAAACTTCGTTTCAAATCAAACTAGGACATTCTTTTTAAAACGGATAAAGTACTACTTTTTTTCTCCACCACATAATATCACCCTCTTTTAGTTTGGATTAGGAAAATCCAGCACAAGGACCACCACCCCACTAACATCTAGTTTGGGGACCGCAAAAATATCAGCACTAATATTTTCGTCTGCCTCAGCGACTAACCCTCAATTACGCAAACACACCAACAATGGCTACGGCGGAAGTGGAGAGCAGAGAGTGGTACGTTGCTAGTTATGCACCAATTGGTGTTCCCAATTCAGACCATATTAAGCTACGCACTGTGACTTTATCGCTAAAAGCAGATTCCATCCCAGATGGAAATGTAGCATTTCAAATCCTTTATGTCTCCATTGATCCATACGTCCGCACTCAATTGAGTGGCCTCGACGATGGCCTCTCTCTTCCTCAAATTCCACTCAGTCAGGTATCCATTTCGATCCATGTATCTAGTTTGATTTAGCACGAGATTTTTTAAAAAATTGCTATTTATATCTTGTAGGGTGTGTTTGGTATGAAGGAAAACATTTTCCGGAAAATGTTTTCC